ACCACGCCCACCACAACCAGGGGTGGTGTCTCCACAATCGTCACTGCCTCCACTTCCTCCCGTTTGGAAATTTCTAGATGAGACCCAGGGACAGGATGATGAAGGAGACTTCCTGAGGCCCATGGGGAAGGGAGCAGAAGAGATGGCCACACAGGGTGGGCCAGGACAGCATGTAGCCAGTGGTTAGGGCAGCTTTCCTGCAAGGTGGGGTTGGGCCTTCTTATTTTTAATAATTTAAATGTATTTTTATAAGTTCCAGCAAGACCTAGAAAAATCCATGATCACACAGATACCACTGTCTAGGCTGCCGTGCAAAAAAAAAAAAAAAAAAAAAATAAAAAAAAAAATATATATATATATATATATATATGTTTTAAGAATATTTTAAAGGAAAGAAGGAATGGAGGGAGTGAGGAAGAGACCTGGGGGTGGGGACATGCATTGGTATTAATGCCACCTAAAAAAATTAAGGTACTAAGTTTTGTATTATGCATACTTTGCCACAATAACAAATAAAAGAGGGCCAGGTGTGATAGCACACATGCCTGAAACCCCAGCAGCTCAGGAGGCTGGGGCAAGAGGACTACAAATTCAAGGCCAGCCTTAGCTAAGAATTTAGTGAGATTTTGTGTAAAATTTTTAAAAGATTAATAAGGGCTGAGGATTTATCTCAGTGGTACGTTGCCCTGGGTCCAATCCCTAGTACAAAAATAAACAAATAAATACATAAATAAATAAGAAGGTGGGGGATGGAAAACAGATGGGTGTTGTCAGGAAGGGGCAGGAGGAATATGACTGCACAGGCCACCCAAGGATCCCTCAGGGGAGGATTAAGTGGTGGGTGCCCAAATTTACCCAGGGGACAAAAGTGCATACTGTGTACCTGTTTGAGTGTGCTAGCACATGCAGAACCAGAGAAACCTAGTTTGTGGGTGATCACGTCCATGTCAGTATGGTTACTTCTTACCACTGCCTGTGAATCTCTAATTATCTCAAAACAAAACAAAGAACAGTCGGGCGCAGTGGTGCGCGCCCGTAATCCTGGCACCTGGGGAGGCTGAGGCAGGAGGATCCTGAGTTCAAACCCAGCCGAAGCAACTCAGTGAGGCCCTAAGTGATTTAATGAGACTCTGTCTCAAAATAAGATACAAAAAGGGCTAGGGGCTGGGGTTGTGGCTCAGCGGTAGAGCGCTCATCTAGCATGTGGGAGGTCCTGGGTTCGATCCTCAGCACCACATAAAAATAAATAAACAAAATAAATGTGTACAAATAAAAAAATAAATATTTTTTTTAAAAAAGGGCTAGAGTTGTGGCTCAGTAGTGAAGTGCCCCAAAGTTCAATTCCCAGTACAAAAAGGAAAAAAAAAAAAAAAGAACAAAGTATACATATACACAGCTATAGGAATGTACTAAATAACAGTTGATAATATGGTCCACACATGGCCAAAAAAGTACAGCTGTCCTGGCATGGCCTTGAGTCCCAGTTCCTTCACCTCAAGAAAACTAATTGGACCAGCTTCTTTCTTTCTTTCTTTCTTTTTTGGGGGGGGCGGTTACTGGGGATTGAACTCAGGAGCATTTAACCACTGAGTTACATCCCCAGCCCAGGCTGGCCTGGAGCTTGTGCTCCTCCTGCCTCTGCCTCCCAGGTCTCTGGGACTACAGCCTACGCCACTGTGCCAGGCTGGACCGGGTTCTAGCGGCTCAGTGCTTCAATACTCACTGTAACTGGAGTCAATGGCAGCACCCACCTGAGCACTGCCCGTGGCCAGGGCCTGATGAGGGGCAGCGTGAGCCCATCACAGTCCTGACCCTGCCTCCCTTCAGCAGGGCCTCATCTTTTCTGAGACTGTAGCCACTCCTGGGCTGTAGGAGCAACCCCTGGCTCCCAGCCTCTGAAGGTTCCCCCTGACCCCCACCCCCACGCATCCCCTGAAGTGACTCACTGAGGCCTGGCCGGTGCACCTCACGCAGGGTGTGGGTCATGCCCGCCTTGTAGCCCAGGAAGGCAGTGAGGTGCACAGGCTGACTGGGGTCATCCCTTGGCCACGTCTTCACCCTGCCCCGGTGCCGCCGGCTCCTCTTATGGGGCAGGAAGCCCAGGTGTCCATGCCGAGGGGCAGAGAACTTCCGGTGGGACTAGGGGCAGCAGAGTGAAGGGTGGAGATTGAGGGATGGGGCCTCCACACCCTCATCTGCCCGCCCTGGTGGGCTCAGCCTGTTGGGATCCAGGAGGGTTGGGCAGCACTGAGGCAGAGTGCTCTGGGCACAGGAGGCTACTGCCATCTCCCATCTCTTGCCCCTTCTAGGCCCAGGAGCCCAGCCTTGGCCCCTTGCTGCCTTCTCAACTGCCCATCATTACAGCCCAGAGAACTCTCCATGCTTGGGGGAGATCTGGGGGACGCCCACCTGCCCCCCTCCCCAGGAAAGCCTGCTTATTCTTTGTTCAGGCTCCAGCCCCAGCCCACTGACCATGGTGGCCGATTCCGGGAGGCCAGGATGGGGCGTCCCCACCAGGCACCAGAGGTCGAGTGGCAAGGCCAGGACACGTAGCAACCAGATCCCATATTTAGCCCCTGGCACCAGCTCGGTCTTCCTCTGTGGCCAGCAGGGTCTCTTGTGCCAGGAGCAGACTGGGGCGGAGCATCAGACAGACAGCCTGTGATGGGGACACCTGGAGCCAGGGCTGGCACCCCATTCCTCCATGTCCTGGCACTGAGTCATGACGCTCCCAGGACAAGACCAACTTGGCTTGACAGGAACAACATACCTTAGTTGGGAGCTCCTCTAAGAAGAGCCTAGATTGTTGACAGTTTTTAGGTTTCCTGTCCTGAGGGCTATTAAGACTGAGCTGGACATAGGGGTGCGAGAGGTGGACAGGGAGGGTTGACCACATGCCCATCAAGATAGAGATTCCTTACCAGCTATCTGGGCATCCCTTAAACCAATCAAAAATGACACATAAAGTTAATCATGTAAACTAAGGCTGAGTACCACTTCCTTAGAGCTATATGGAAAATCCCTAATTCCTTGTGCATAAGAAGTATTTTAATATTTAAGTATTTAAATACTTTTCTGCCACCTCCTTTCTCCTCTCTTACACCATCTGAATCTTTTTTTTTAATATTTATTTTTCAGTTTTTGGCAGACACAACATCTTTGTTTGTATGTGGTGCTGAGGATTGAACCCAGGCCGCATGCATGCCAGGCAAGCGCACTACCGCTTGAGCCACATCCCCAGCCCCCATCTGAATCTTTTTGTTCCCTGGACAAATATCTATTGTCCCTTTCACCTTGAATAGAATGGTTCCACATGAATGTTCCCAAGAGCTTACAGACTTTAACATTATATTAAATAACATGGGGGGAAATACAGTTTTAGTCCTTATTCTCCAACTGATTAGTTTATTTCATAAGTTCTATTCATTTTTTTTCATTATTTTAATGAGCAGTTTAGCTTTTATTTGTAGAATTGTAATTGATCCAAACAGCCAAAAACAGCATAGTAATTATTTACAAATTTTATTAAAATTTCAAACAAGTAATATTATATGTATTTTTAAATAAAATATGTCCATTAAAAAAAAAGATAAAGTTTCCTGCTGGGGGTGATGGTGCACACCTGTGATCCTAGGGAGGCTGAGGCAGGAGGATCATAAATTAGAGGCCAGCCTGGGTAACTGAGACCTTTTCTCAAAAATATGGAAAGGGCTGGGACATAGTTCAGTGGTACAGCACCTTGGGTACTGGGAAAAAAGAAAGTTTTGAATGAAAAGAGGTTGATATTTAAATAATTTCTTTTTTGAGGAGATTTTTTTTTTCCTTTTGAGACAGGGTTCCACTATGCTGTCAAGTGATCCTCCAGCCTAACTCCTAAGTAGTTGGGACTACAGGTGTGTGCCATTGCACCTGGCTACCTTATTTTCCAATTTCAAGATTCTATGGTTATAAAGTTCTTCTGGGAATTGAACCCAGGGGTACCTTATCCCTGAGCTACATCCCCAGTCCTTTCTACTATTTATTATGAGATAGCATCTCACTAAGTTGATGAGATTGGCCTAGAACTTGCGATCCCCCTGCCTCAATCTCCCAAGTTGCTGGGATTTCAGGTATGCACACCACCATGCCTGGCTATCTTTATAAAGTTCTTTAGCTGCAGAATCACAAAGTTCTCTAGGTGTAAAATGTCCCTAAGAGAATGTGAATTTTGCATCACTAGATGCCAATATTCTAGCATGCTACCAAAATACAGTCTTTGGGTCGGAATGTCTGTGTTTCTAAGAGTTCATAATCTGAAGATTTAACATTTCCAATTCTAGATTCTGTGGGTCCCTAGCTGCTGGCTCCATGTCCCTGGCCCCTGCCTCTGGACAGGAGATGACTAGCACCCTGCCTGGATAGCCAGCCAGGTGTGCACATTACATATAAGGCCATGGTGGCTCTGGTCAGTGGCTGCCACGGGGCACTACAGTGCTCAGAGCTGAGATGGAACCAGCTGCCATAGGCCAGAGTGCCCTGTGCCCATGATGGGAGCCCCAATCTCTATGGGTTGGGCTGGGGGACAACTCATTCCTCCTGCTCTGCCCCAGGGAGGTCCCCAAACTCACTGTCAGCAGTCCATTCTTGAGGGACAAAGACAGCAGAGCCCAGAGAAGGTTGATAGGGACTGGGCAATCCAGAGAAGATTCCTGGAGGATCAAGACTTTTTATACTCTTTGTCGATTTCTTGACTTATTTGTTGTGTGTGTTCTACCAGTCGATGTTCTCCATAAAAGCCAGGTCGTGTTCACCTCGTTGCTAGCACCAAGTCTAGCCTGCAGTAGGTTAGGGAGGAATCATTTCTTTTGAGTTTGTTGCTCTCCGCCTGCCTCGGGTGCGATGGCTCCAGACCCCACGTGGGGGCGCCCGCGGCCAACCACAGCATGTGGTGCTCACCCCGCGCAGGCGCAGTGGTCGCCCTGCGCGCAGGCGCAGCATCGTTCCACGGCGTCCCGCGCAGGCGTATTTGCCCCGACGACCTCCGCAGGGTTATCTGTACCCGGCACCCAACTAGCGGAGTCCTGTGCGCCATGCCCGACACCTGGGACAAGGACGTGTACCCCGACCCCCCGCGCCGCACGCCGGCGCCCTCCCCGCAAACCTCGCTGCCCAACCCCATCACCTACTTCACGAAGGCATTCGACCTCCTGGTGGACCGGCCCGTGACCCTCGTGAGAGGTACGAGCTCGGGGTTCTGCCTGCTCGCGGGGACCCCGGTGCCCCACACCCGAGGTCCCCGAGCTCCGCCGCCTCCTTTGGCTTCCCCACTACTTCGCGGACCATTCCCCGGGACCTCCCCCGCCCCCGCCCCCTGGGTCGCTGCACCTTTCCCCGGGACGCCACTCCCTTGGCTGCGCCCTGTGCCTTCTATACCAGGACCCCTCTTTGCTCTCCGCCTCCGCCTCCGCCTCCGCCGCTTGAGAGGCTCCCTTAGTCTCTGGTCTCCGTCATAAACCGGGGTGTGTGTGTGTGGGGGGGTGCTTGCTCTCGCAATCAACTGAGTCCTTGGGCCTGTTATAGTCCCAGGCCCCTGCAATGCAAGTGACAACTGGTTGTAGTGTAATGGCTGAAATGCCCAAATTCGCCATCTCTGGTCCTAATTAGAAAATGTTCCATGCAACTCTTTGTGGTCCTGTTTGCCAGCCCTCTGATCAGCAGCAAGCGCTTGCTCTGCCTTGTTACAATTAAGCAGCTCATTCGTTCAACCATAAGACATTTGAGGTACATCGCATACTCAAGTGGTTTTTTTTTTTCCCTATATTACGGTCTTCCAAGTTCTGGGGATTACTGGTTTGGGGGTTATGTGTTTATTTGGCACTGGGGGTTTAACCCAGGGGCATTTTACCACTGAGCCACATCCCCAGCCCGTTTTGAGACAGGGTCTTGCTAACTTGCATGGGGCCTCGCCGAGTTGATGAGGCTGGCTTTGAACTTGTGATCCTACTGCCTCCGCCTCCCAAGTCCCTGGGATTACAGGTGTGTACCACCACTCCCAGCAGGTTATTTATTTATTTAATTTTAAATTATATATATACATTTTTTTTTAGTTGTAGTTGGACAAGTACAATTTTTATGTGGTGCTTAGGATCGAACCCAGGGCCTTGCACGTGCTAGGCAAGTGCTCTAGGCTGAACCACAACCCCAGCCCCAGGTTATTTGTTTTTAAGGCAAAGAGGTCTTGCTATGTTGCCCAGCCTGGCCCTGAACTCCAGGACCCAAGCAATCCTCCTGTCTCAGCCTACCAAGTACATGGACTATAGACATGTCACTGGGTCTGGTATTCTTTGATTAGGGAGTATAGTATAGCAGATGAGTCAGGTCCCTCTTTCTTGCTGTCTTAGAAGTGGTTTGTTTTGGGGACTCAAGGACTGAACCCAGGGGCCCTTAAGAGACAAGGTTTCACTAAGCACCTGGTGTTTTTTATTCCTGGATGCATGAACTCTTTAGTCCTGCTGGTTAAAGCTACCAGTGGAAACTTTAGGCCTGGAGGTCATTGCAGGAGTTCTGTTGGTGCCTTCTTGCCTAGAGTGAGGTTCCTGGGCTGTGGGACAGGTGGACTTGTAGAACTGGGTTCTGAATCCTGCCTTGCTCAGTCTCATTGGTGAAGACAAAGGGTTGTTCTGGTCACAACCTGTGATGATGCAACTGGAGATATCACCACTTGTAGCCTAGTCCTTCTAACATTTAGGAAATACCTTCACCCATCTATCTAAACTGACAAGTAAATTATCTGGTTTCCTTTCTACAGAGTTTATAGAGCAGCAGCATGCCAAGAACAGGTATTATTACTATCACCGGCAATACCGCCGAGTGCCAGACATCACAGAGTGCAAGGAGAAGGATATCCTGTGCATTTTTGAGGCGGAAATGCAATGGAGAAGGGACTAGTAAGTGCATAGCAGGGAATGTTGAGAAAGTATGAGACCACTTCCTACTGTCCCATCATTTCCTGGGGATTCCTTGGGATGGCCTCATCCAGTGGGTATATCTCTTGGGGTTGGCTCAGATTTTGAAGACAAGGCTTTCACTCAATCCTTTGGGTACTTGCTCCTTTTTAGCAAAGTTGATCAAGAAATTGTCAACATCATCCAGGAGAGGCTAAAGGCCTGTCAGCAGAGGGAAGGAGAGAGCTACAAGCAGAACTGTGCCATGGAATTGGAACAGTTTGCCCAGGTGGCCAAGGCCTACCAGGACCGCTGTAAGTTGAGCCCTGCCCACCCTTTTTTGCTTGTTTTTTCTTACCCAACCCATCCACCATCTCTTTCTCAGATCATGACCTGGGAGCCCATTATTCTGCCAGAAAGTGCCTGGCAAAGCAGAAGCAGAGAATGTTGGCAGAGAGAAAAGCTGCTAAGGAGGCTGCTGCCGCCTGAGGCCTCTTAACTAACCTGCTGCATTGCTGAAATAAAGTGATTTAACTCTACTTCTGGTGGTGTCATTAGCCCCTTCGAAATTCCAGCTACCAGTTTATATGGAAGACAGAACCATTTATTAATGGGTTTCATTCACTTTATTATTTTTGTATAAAAACCCTATGTTGTAGCCACGGCTGGAGCCTGGGTCCTCTGTACAGAGACTCTGGTATGGGTTTTCACAAGATGGTCAGTGAATTCCTACAAAGAAAAATCAACAGTTATGTAGTGGGAAACCATTCCCCTACAAAATTAAGGTGTTTCTGCCCCGCCCAAAAAACCTGTTGATAAGGTGGGCCATGATGTAAGAACAGTAAAATCTCACTAGCTAGACCAGAAATACCTGATAAGGAGACTTGGTGAACACAGTCTCTTTCCAGAGATCAGGGGTCAAATAGCTGTATGTCTTGGAGATGGCATCAAAGGTGGCCTTGGCTTCAAAACAAACAACAGAAGAGGGTTAGTGGCTAATAGCAGAGAAGTCCTCCACCCCTACAGAAGCTGTTGCACTCCTAGGAACAGAGAGGCCACTTAGGGGCAGATCTGCCGTGCATTAGGAGGGCCTTCCTCTCTCTCCCTTAAAATACGCCAAGCACACACTGCACCTGTGTGATTCGGCGGAGCTGAGAGAGGGTTCACTGCAGATTCCTTTGGGGGCCACCTACCAAAATTGCCCAAGGTGGCAGTGCAGCCCCTGGCAGAAGTGTAGCAGTCATCAATACCAGCCATCATCAGTAGCTTCTTGGGTACAGGAGCTGAGACAATGCCAGTACCTCTGGGGGCAGGGATGAGCCGTACCAGCACAGAACCACAACGTCCTGTCACCTAAGAAAAGCAGAATCAGGTAACAGGGCCAGAGGGAAAATATGCTCCACCCCAGGCCCATCAATAACCATCACAGCTTACCTTGCAAGGGACAGTGTGAGGCTTGCCAATCTTGTTCCCCCAATAGCCTCTCCGCACAGGAACGATGGAGAGCTTGGCCAGGATGATGGCCCCTCGGATAGCAGTTGCTACCTCCTTGGAGCATTTTACTCCCAGTCCAACGTGACCGTTGTAGTCACCAATAGCTACAAATGCCTGGGAAAAAACTATGTTAGGCGGCTCGTGATCCTCCACAACATCCATACACACTACCTAGTTCCTGTTGTGCCTCTCAAGGAAGAAAAGGCTACTGTGAGGCCAATCCAAGGTCCAGAGGGGCTCTTTCCTCTCTCTCCCCTGTACGAAAGTCACACGGGCAAAACTTAGTGTGACCATGCAGAGTGGGGAGAGTTTTGCCCAACCAGCCAAGTGCATGACAACTCTAATACCTTGAATCTGGTCCGCTGGCCAGCACGAGTCTGTTTCTGTACAGGCATGATCTTCAAAACCTCATCCTTGAGTGATGCCCCCAAGAAAAAGTCAATGATCTCAGACTCCTACAACAAAAGAACCGGTGTGCAAAAGTTGAGTGTTTAGCCCTTGATTCACCTAGATTCCAGGTCCGAGATGGCATCCTTTTCTATAAAAGCGAAGCCACCTCACCTCCGGCCATAACCCATGTCAAAGGTGGACACCCACACAAGCGCAACCACAGGCTCAAGGTGCAACTCTCCCAGCCCCTACCAAATTAAGCTCCGGGAGGCTGGTCGTTCAGCACAATACCTTGATGGGCAAAGAGAAGAGATAGATCTCCTCCAGGGACTTGATTTTCATGTCCTTGACCAGGCGGCCCAGCTTGGTGACCGGGATCCACTGCGGGGAAGGTGCCAGTCAACAGGGATACCTTCTGGGCGTCGTCCCCGAACGCGCCCCGCCCGCCCCCCGGGCCTACCTCCTTGTCTTCGGCCTTGCCTCCACGAGCACCGCGGCCACGGCCCCGGCCCCGTCCACGGCCTCGGCCGCGGCCTCGGAGACCGCTGCCGAAGCCTCCGCGGAAGCCGCCGCGGCCACCCATTCCGGGGCCCCCGGGACCTCCGGGACCTCCCGCTGCACCGGCGTCATCCGCCATTTGCTGCACCAAGAGACAAGAACCAGCCAATTAGCGGGGAGCTGCCTCTGTAGCAGCGTGGGAAATCCAGACACCGCGCATCGAGTCTGAAGATGCGATGGTGCGGGCTTGGCCCCGGCCATCCGATGTCCGCGGATCGCCAAGGCCCGCGCCGCGTCCCGCCATAGTTAATAAAACTACTCACGTGTTTTTTCCAGAGAAGAAGAAAGAACCTGTCTCGGAAGGCGCTTTTATAGCAGGCCAAAAACCGCGAGATCTCGGGAGCCTCGCCCGAGTGGCCCTAGCACCGCGAGGCGGCTACGATTGGCTCCGCGGCGCCCCGCCCTCGCCGCACTCTTCATGCGCCTGCGCATCAGCTCTTGCCGCAATCCGGGCATGCGCGGCGGGCGGCTGGGCGGACCGGTATAAACGCACGCGCCTCCGTCCCGCGGCCTTTCGCGGATGCCGGGAGCGTGTGCTTTCTTTCGTTTTGGTAGGTCCGATTTGCTCGCCTGTCCGCAGGTAGCCGAGAGACCGGCGTTGGTTGAAAATCACCCTCGGCGCTGGCGGTGGCCGTGGATGAGATTCGGCGCCCAGAGCCTCCAGGGGCCTCAGCTCGCCGCCCACTACCAGTGTGGAAAGGCGAAACCCAGGCCCCGACATCCCCGCTGCGGCTACTCGCGCGGTTATATCCCTGGCCAATCATCCCTGACCCCATCTTCTCTCTCCGCAGGACACGGATCTCCCGGAGAACTTGAGGCCGACGCCGCCAGGACCTTGGGGGGTCGTGGGAGAGATCGGTGGTCCCGCGTTTCAAATAAAGCTGTTTAACTCGGGATGTGTGGACGTTCTTGGGGTCTCCTACCTGCCGGAAAATCGAGCCCTAGTAGTGCGTTTCTTCCCGGGCTAGCCAAACTGCTTTCGGATATCACAAATGTAGGGCTTAGGCACGTGATTCTTAGGTGTCAGCCAGATTGGGACCCCTGGTCTGCCTGTGCAGTGGAGTGAATTTATCAATCCTTAACAGTGGTGCTCAACCTACATGAGCATGTATCTCTCTTCTCAGGCCTGCACAGATGATAAACACTGGAAGAGAACTAGCTGGTTCCCGGTGATTTAGTTCTCTCTGCTATGGAGAACCAATTGATCAACATCTGAAGACCCTAAGCTTTTGGAGTTCTCAGTGCCTGGGCAGCACCATCTGAGAAAGGTGCAGCTGTCCCTGTAATCCTACTGACCTTGGGGAAACAACTCTTAAAGAGTCTAGCTTCTCTGTGCAAACCTGCTCTGGGACCAGATGTCAGCCTCGACCAACATAGAGGGTCAGTGGGTGTCCACACCTGAGTTGGGGCTGCCCTAGTGTTTACATTCACTTTGGGCAGTACAGGGCTACTTGCTTTCCCAGCAGGCCCTGGACCAGAGTTGGTTTTGGGTTTTTTGTTTGTTTTATATATGTTTAGTTGTAGATGGACACAGTACTTTTATCTTACTTATTCATAATATGGTGCTGAGAATCAAACGCAGTGCCTCATATGCTAGGCAAGCGCTCTACCACTGAGCCACAGCCTCAGCTCTAGACCAGAGTTTTGATTGGCCTGAGCTGAACAATGCCACTGTGATGTCGGCCCACACCTGCTGTGAAATGGAGGCTCCCGAGCCCCGGGCATCAGTGGAGCTGCCTGCCGTCCAGATACAGATCATGGTAAGCCTAAGGCCCTCATTTTTCCAGCCCTAAGATTTATGCCAAGCTATCAGGGATTGACCCCATTCCTCAATCAGAAATGCTGGGCAGTGGGTTACAGCCCCTACAAGGAATGAGGAAACCTCTGGGTCAAACTTAGAGCCATCTCTGCTTCTCCAGCTAGTGATTGGTGGTCCTGGGGAAACCTTGACCCTCACGGCTGTCTTCTACATGAAGAGAGTTCTCATGTGGCCTACCTACCCACCCAAACACTTGGGTATGTGGAGTGGGGGGGGCCAGAACCTGGCGCCTGCCAGCTCTGATGCAGGTTTGACCTTTGCAGAGTGGCGGGTATGATCTCAACCTCTTTGCCAGCCCTCCCGACTGCAACTTCCTGTGCTCCGTCTGCCATGGGGTTCTCAAGAGGCCAGTAAGGTTGCCATGTAGCCACATCTTCTGCAAAAAGTGCATCCTCCGGTGGCTAGCCAGGTGCCACTGGGAACCCAAGGGACTGGGAGGACAGGTGTGAAGCCACTCCTGTGGTCCAGAGCCCAGACTTAGTCCTAAGTCTGCTGAACACTGGGTTCCAATAGCCACAAGATGCTAAAATGTGTGGGTCTCCTAACCCTGTAGTGTTAACAGGTCCCAGCCTTGGGGACCCCCTTATACCTCCTCCAGCTAGAGAGACCATTTGGGTCACCCCTTGAATATCTGTCCCTACGGTCATGTCACTCTGCTTCCTTCTCACCTCACACACACACTTGCCTCCTTCCAGACAAAACACCTGTCCATGCTGCAGGAAAGAGGTGAAAAGGAAAAAGATGGTCCATGTGAATAAACTCCGGAAAACCATTGGCCGCCTAGAAGTCAAGGTAGCTCAAAGTACCCATTCCCATCACCCTTGGGTGGGGCAAAGCCAGGGCCAAGCATGCCATCTTCAAAGAAAACCAAGTGCAGCCCAGGCATCAGCAGACCTAGCTAAGTTTGAGTCATATACTACTTACCTGTGTGACCTTGGGCAATTTACTTAACTTTTCTGAGCCCTTGGAGCCTCAACTATAAAATGGGGATTCTAGAGAATTTTCAGTGAAGTGCCAGGTGTATGGGCTTAAGTCTCCAACCCCTGATTTTACAGATGAGGAAACCAAGGTTTAAAAAAAAAAAAAATGCCCCGGGTTGGGAATGTAGCTCAGTATTAGAGTGCTTCCTCAGCATATGCGAAGCCTGGGTTCAAACCCCAGCACCACTACCACCCACACAAAACAAAAAGTGTGGCAAACATACCAGACTAACCCAGCTATACACTTCCCTGTTCAAGACTCGGGCCTCTAAACACCAAAGTTCTTCCCTCCTACCCATCTGTTCTGGAAGCAGAAAAGCTTGGGAGGTTCCTAGTCTCCTGGTTCTTGGTCAATGGTCAGATACCAAATGGGAGGAGAGGGTGGGGGCCAGGGAAGAGCCAGCTGGCAAATTCCCAGCCTGGCCTGGTCTGGCAGGGCCCAGCTAGGTTCGCTCACATGGAGGTTTCTCACACCCCCAGTGCAAGAACGCTGAGGCTGGCTGTTTGGTGACATGCCCCCTGGCCCATCGCAAGGGGCATCAGGACTCATGCCCCTTTGAGCTGATGGCCTGCCCCAACGAAGGCTGCTCTGCGCGAGTGCCACGTGGGGACCTGGCTGAGCACCAGCAGCACTGCCAGCAAGGTGGTGAGCAGCTTTGCCTCTTGGGCTGCGGGGCCACCTTGGGCCCAGCTGAACGTGCACGCCATAACTGCTACCGAGAACTACGCGAGGCCTGGAGCGAGCGCCAGGAGCGCAGCCGGACTCTGCTGCTAAGTCTGCTGCGGCGTGTGCGCCGGATGCACCGCACCACCAACCTCATCCGCCGGCAACTGGCCCAGCTAGGCAACTTCCTGGAGGAGGATGACACCCTGCTCCTGGGCACTGTGCAGGAGGCTGAGGCCACCCCAGTGGGCAGTACTGACGCTGAGGTGTGGGGATCACAGGGCCAGCGTGCCTTGTAAATACAAGGGCAAATAAATGCTGAGCCCAGGCCGGGCCTATCTCACCGCCTCTGTGCCTGCTAGCCTCATACCCTGTGCCCATTCCCCAGGCCCCCTTGCTCTTCATTTGTCTATTTCTTTTCTCTCAATGTCTCTTCTCCCAATCTCAACTCCAGTTGCTTCCTATCAATTTGTTTTATCAGTTTTGTAGCCTGTAGCATGAATGGCTCAAAATCGTTAACTCAGTAAAAGCCAGTTCCTCAGTAGCTCAGGAGGACCTGCACCCTCTCTGCACTCCTGTCCTTTAAGAATATCCTCTGGGGTTGGAGATATAGCTCAGTGAACTAGCACCGGGAGGCCCTGGATTCAATCCCTAGCACCACAGTCTCCTGTGCAATGGCTCCCTTAGCCACACTGACCTCTGCACCCCTAAGCAGTGGCTGTCCCTCTGTCCGAAACACGATCTCCAAAAAACTGCTTTACTTCAATTGCTCCGGTGCCCCCTTCTCAATGAAGCCTTCTGCACTGCCCCCATTTAAAACTGCACTTATGGGGCTGGGGATGTGGCTCAAGCGGTAGCGCGCTCGCCTGGCATGTGTGCGGCCCGGGTTCGATCCTCAGCACCACATACCAACAAAGCTGTTGGTATAAATAAAATAAAATAAATATTAAAATTCTCTCTCTCTCTTTAAAAAAAATAAAATAAAATAAAACTGCACTTATGCCCTCTGCCTAATCCCTTGCTAACCTACATTTGCAAAACCCTAGCCTTTAAACTGGTGTAATTATCCCCTTCTTCCCAGACCAGCTCTTGCCCCCACTGCTGCCCACTGGAGAGCTACTCCAGGGCAGGAAATTTTTCTTCCTGGGGTCTCCAAGGGCCTAAGGCAGTGTTTTGCATACAGAAGGTACTCATAAATTATATTTGAATGTCTCTGGAATTACCCAATTAGTGCGTTTATCCGAAGCACTTATATGGATTGAGCCCACCGTGCAGAAACTGGCTCTTGGCTCTGGCTCTATCCAAAAAAAGGGGAGGAAACACTTTCAAATGCCTGCCCCACTCGCTAAGTTGCTCAGGCTGGTCTCCAACTTGCGATCCTCCTGCCTCTGCCTCTGCCTCTGCCTGAGTCGCTGAGATTACAAGCATGTGCCACCACGCCCACGCCATGGAAGTTTCTTAGTCCTCAATACCAAAAATAAACTTCCATAAATAGGCAACGTCACGGGCAACCGGAGCACACTACCTATTTCTTTTGCCAGGGTTGCGCCCCTCCACACCCCACCCTTTAGACCGGAAATTCGCCGGCTCCGGCTTCCGTTTCCGGACGCAGCAGCAGCAGCTACTGCCCACGGCAAAGATGGCATCTGGTGCGCTGTGCTGATGGCGTCACAGTAGTCGCGGACGGTGACACCATCAGCAGCGCGACTGGAGTGAGGAGTGGCGCGCCGGTCTCCCTCACGCGGCGGCGGCGGGTCCTGGCTGCAGGGACGGCGGCGACATGGCTGAGGCCGCGTCCGGAGTGAGCCGCTTCAAGGCGAAGTAAGCCCAGCGCGGGAGACGGGTTCGCTGCCGGAGTAACGGAAGCGTCCGCGGCGGGCCGAGCGCGCGTTCGGGTCGGAGAGGCACCCTGCCTGTGGAGTCGCGGGCCAGGCTGCGGTGGTAGCTGCAGGACGGTCGGCACCGCCTGCCATGGGGAAGGGCGGCAGACCCGGCGCAGCGAGCGTCGGGTATCTAAAGAGGAGCCAGTTTCAGGGGCGTCGTGGAGTGGGGACGAGGCGCCCCGCGGGGAAGGGGCGAGCTGAGCGCCTGTGGGCGCAGGGCCGGGTGGTCACGGGAGACGGGAACCACCTGTGGTCCGGCTTCTCCCCGGAGCCGGAAGACAGGAGGTGGGTGGGCCGCGGTGCCAGGGTCCCTGAGTCCGGTTCTCATTCAGTTCCCCAGCTTGTGCTGCACAGCGACAGCTAGAGCTCAGTGCCTGTGACACACAGCTTCATGGCACAGATCATTTCCATCCGTGCCTCAGGGGATTGAGTTGTGACAAGCACCAGCAAAGGAAAGGTTGTGCTGGCAGCACTTCTGTTGGGGGATATCTGGGTTCAGAGAATAGGATTGGTTCCATCTTGTCAAGCTGGCTTCCCAGAAGGGAATTTAGCTGCGTGTTGGAATCTGGGGGAACCCTGGTCATATGCAAGAAGCAGAGGACCTGTCCCAAGGGCTGGGCCAGGAGAATGAGGCGGCAGTGTGGACTGTGAGAGGAAAAGTTTGCAGGAGCAAGGTTTGGAAACATGTAAAGAAAAAGAAGGTTTTAAGTAGGGCTGTGACATAATCGGTTGTTCTAAAAAATAACTGGTATCACCAGACACAGTGGTAGACTTGGAAGGCTGAGACAGGAGGATTGGAAGTTTGAGGCCAGCTTCAGCAACTTATCAAGGTTCTGAGCAACTTAGTGAGACCCTGTCTCAAAAATAAAAAGTGGTGGACTCTGGGTTCAATCCCCAATACCAAAAATGATGATGATGATGATGACAACAACAACAACAACTGGCATCAGGGCATGGTGGCCACCAATTCAGGAGGCTGAAGCAGGAGGATCACAAGTAACTCAGGGAGACCCTGTCTCAATAAAAAGGCTGGGGATGTAGCTTAGTGGTAGAGTGCCCCTGGGATCAGTTCTCCCAGTGCTACAGGGATGGGAGAATAACTGGCAGCATGATTGAGAGAGTAGGTAGGGTGCCCAGAAAAGAGACTGGAACTGCTATCCAGGGGAGACTGCAATACCCTGGACCAGGGTGGAGGCCGTAGAGAGGGAGGAGGCCATAGAGAGGGAAAGAAGAAGACAGCATGAGCGAGGTCACAGAAGTGATACCTGCCTGGAGAGTGAGATCAGGTGAGGCTGGGCCTACAGGAGGGATCCAGGATGGAGAAGGGGTGTGCTGAACTTCAGGAGTGAAGACTGGAGAGGTGGCACCCTAGGTCCTACAACCCACAGGGGACCCCCAAGGCCCCTACTTAGGAGACTGGGCTGCCTGGCTGCATTCACCTGAGTCAGGCCCACCTCTCCATGCTGCAGGACCCCACATGGATCACTAATCAGCACTGGGTCTCAACCTGTCTGTAACACAGGGGTAGGAACACCCACCCACAGAAAGATGCCCAGGAGTTCCACAAGGGAAGGGGTTTGGGACAGCACCCAGCACAGGGCTAGGCACTGGGGACTAAGGGGGTGGCAGTTCTTTACTCACCTGGTTCTCTTTCCAGCTATGCTATTGAGCGCAAGATGGAACCTTTCTACAAGGGCGGGAAAGTACAGGTACCAGCTCCAGGGACAGGTGGGGTGGTGGATGGGGCAGGCAGCAGGTGCCCAGCATTGCCTTGATTGAGACCCCTGTGTCCAGCTGGACCAGCCTGGCCAGCACCTCTTCTGCGTCTGTGGTACCAGAGTCAACATCCTGGATGTGGCCTCAGGGGCTGTACTAAGGAGCCTGGAGCAGGTAAGGGCAGGTAAACAGGTGGGAGTGGGAGGTAGAAGGGGCAGCCCTTTCTCATGGTGCTGTGTGCTCTTGTGCTTTCCCTCAGGAGGACCAAGAAGACATCACTGCCTTTGACCTCAGCCCGGATGATGAGGCACGTGGGGCAGGGGTGGGAAGTGAGCTCTGTGGCCTCCCTCCCACATTGCACGTGAACAGAAAGCTCACCTGCCAGCTGAACTGCACATTCCCCAGGTGCTGGTGACAGCCAGCCGGGCACTGCTGCTGGCTCAGTGGGCCTGGCGAGAGGGCAGCATTACCCGCCTATGGAAGGCAGTACACACTGCTCCTGTGGCAACCATGGCCTTTGATCCCACCTCCACACTGCTAGCCACAGGTAGGGCCTCAGCTGGGCAGGTGGGCCAGAGGGCGCAGGGCAGGGCCTTTGGACACACCAGCTCCCTTACTTCAAATGTTCCTGCAGGTGGTTGCGATGGGGCTGTGCGTGTCTGGGATGTCGTACGGCACTATGGGACACACCACCTTCGGGGCTCTCCTGGAGTTGTGCAGTGAGTTGGGGCAGTGGAGAGTGGGTGGACAGAGGCACCACCTTTGGGCAGCACAACTCACCCATCCCCCACCTGCCTGCAGTTTGGTGGCCTTCCACCCGGATCCCACTCGCCTGCTGCTCTTCTCCTCAGCCGCAGACGCTGCCATCCGCGTGTGGTCACTGCAGGACCGCTCGTGCCTGGCTGTGCTAACTGCCCACTATAGTGCTGTCACCTCACTGACCTTTAGTGCTGATGGCCATACCATGCTCAGGTCAGTGGCAGACCATGCAAGCCCTGGGAGGAAGTGAGGGCTCAAGACAGTGGGAACTGAGAATGGACTCTGGAACTAAAGGGGCTTTCTCTCCACAGCTCTGGACGTGACAAGATCTGCATTCTCTGGGACCTTCACAGCTGCAAGGCCACAAGGACTGTGCCAGTGTTTGAGGTGGGGGCACCTGTAGAGAGGGCCAGTGAGTTGGACAGGGGATTGATGGGGGAATGGCAGCAGTCTTTGACCCAGCTCATCCCCAGAGTGTGGAGGCTGCTGTGCTGTTGCCTGAGGAGCCAGTTCCTACACTGGGTATGAAGAATTCAGGCCTGCATTTCCTGACTGCTGGTGATCAAGGTGTGTGGGGCTGGCCACAGGCTGACCACAAGAGCTAGGGGAGGCCTGCAAGACTGATAGCAGCCCCTCTCCCACTGCACAGGCACGCTGCGCGTGTGGGAGGCAGCTTCTGGGCAGTGTGTATACACCCAACCACAGCTGCCAGGCCCTGGGCAGGAACTGACCCACTGTGCCCTCGCCCGCACTGCTGGCCTACTCCTCAGTGTCACTGCCGACCACAACCTACTACTCTATGAGGCACAGTCCCTGCAGCTGCAGAAGCAGGTGAGTGCCTGTCCCTGGAGCCCAGGGCTGGAGACACCAAGCAGCTCTCCACTCCACACAAGTCCCAGCTTACGTTCTTGCCTCCCACAGTTTGCTGGCTACAGCGAGGAGGTATTGGATGTCCGGTTCCTTGGGCCCAAGGACTCCCACATTGTTGTGGCTTCCAATAGCCCTTGCCTAAAAGTATTTGAGCTGCAGACATCAGCCTGCCAGATCCTCCATGGCCACACAGGCAAGTGGAGCTCATGATACTGGGTTTGATTGCCTCCTCACCCTACTGCCTTTTTGCCATATTGACTTCTGACCACTCTTCCCATCAGACATTGTCCTGGCCCTGGATGTTTTCCGGAAGGGGTGGCTCTTTGCCAGCTGTGCCAAGGTAAGGCCTCCTGAAATGTGGAGGTGCAGGGGAAGCCAAAGCAATAGGACCACGGCCCAGCTTCTTTCCTCAACTCTTCCCATCCCAGGATCAAAGTGTCCGAGTCTGGAGGATGAACAAAGCTGGCCAGGTGGCCTGTGTGGCCCAGGGCTCTGGGCACACACACAGTGTGGGCACCATCTGCTGCTCCAGGTAGTGGGACAGGGCTGGATCCAGGAATATTAGAGGAGATGGAGGCTCAGGCCTACTAATGGGGTTCCATTTCAGGGAGGGGAAGGTGGTGGCTTTGACCTTACTCTGAGATTCTAGGCCACAAGTGGAATAGAGATCAGGTCCAGAGAACCCCAAGTTGTTATGGGCAGGGAATCCTCAGTAGTAGTCTTGGGACAAAGTGGACCAAGGAGGGAGTGAGTGGAGAATGAATGAACGAGGTTCAGGTGGAGAAAGGGATCCAGCATTTAAGACTGGGGTCCATTTGCAAGGGGTGGACTAGAGGTATTTGGGGCAATGCCCTGGGACCACCTCTACTCTGGGCCTTGGTGTGGCAGGCCAGACCTGTGGTGTGCTGGCAGACAGTGCTGTCCAGCCTTAGGTGTCTCTCCTCTCCCCTGCTGGGCTCTAGGCTGAAGGAATCCTTCCTAGTGACAGGCAGCCAGGACTGTACCGTGAAGTTGTGGCCCCTCCCAGAAGCTCTGCTATCCAAGAGCACTGCCCCAGATGGTAGCTCCATCATCCTACAGGCCCAGGCCACCCAGCGCTGCCATGACAAGGTGACCACATTGGACCCTGGGTGGAGACATGATTGAACCCTTGCTATGGTAGAGGTCTGAGCTGCTGCCATCTACTCTTTCACCAGGACATCAACAGCGTGGCTGTCGCCCCCAATGACAAGCTGCTGGCCACAGGCTCTCAGGACCGCACAGCCAAGCTGTGGGCTCTGCCACAGTGCCAGCTACTGGGTGTATTCTCTGGCCACCGGCGTGGCCTCTGGTGTGTCCAGTTCTCACCCATGGACCAGGTGCTGGCCACAGCCTCAGCTGATGGCACCATCAAGCTCTGGGCATTGCAGGATTTTAGCTGTCTCAAGGTAAGCAGCGTCCCCTGGCCTGTTCCCTCCCATCTGTTGCAACCTCACATCCTCCCCACACCTCCCCACAGACATTTGAGGGGCATGATGCTTCAGTACTGAAGGTAGCCTTTGTGAGCCGTGGCACACAGCTGCTATCTAGGTGAGACACTGGGCACAGGTGGGGTGGGGCAGGGTGGTAGGCAGGCCCCTACAGTCAGCCCTTCCCAATCCCAAACCCAGTGGTTCTGATGGGCTTGTGAAGCTTTGGACCATCAAGAATAACGAGTGTGTGCGGACACTGGATGCCCATGAAGACAAGGTCTGGGGGTTGCACTGCAGCCAGCTGGATGACCGCACCCTCACTGGGGCCAGCGACTCCTGTGTCATTCTGTGGAAGGTTGTGGGCCCTGAGGGGCAAGGGTGGGCTGGGGGCCATCTTGGGGGCTTGTCTGACCCTCATATGATCCCAGGATGTGACTGAGGCAGAACAGGCGGAGGAGCAAGCCAAGCGGGAGGAACACGTGGTTAAGTAAGTGGGGACCCAGTCCCAGCACCCCTGCTCTGTGGCACAGGGAAACAGGCTAGGTGGGTTCACTCCAGTGGGAACTCAGTCAGGCCCATGCCTATTGACTCCACCTTCAGCCCCAGCCAAGGTCCCTGAGTGGCCCTGTCCTTCCCTCCACCACCAGGCAGCAAGAGCTGGACAACCTGCTCCATGAGAAGCGGTATCTGCGGGCTCTAGGCCTGGCCATCTCCCTGGATCGGCCCCATACTGTGCTAACTGTTATCCAGGGTCAGTACCTGCTGCTCCAAGGGCAGGGGGCAGGAAATGGGACTTCAATGACTATTGATTCCCTTTCTGGAACTTGAGTGTCCTCCTCCCATAGCCATCCGCAGAGACCCTGAGGCCTGTGAGAAGTTGGAAGCCACCATGCTGAGATTGAGGCGAGACCAGAAAGGTCCTGAGCAGGCAGGAAAGGGCCAGTTGGGGGTGGCCTGCTGGGCAGTGGCAGGAGCAGGGCAGGGTGGAATGGCTTGGGAGGCAGAGTGTGACTATCCCTGATGCCCACAGAGGCCCTGCTGCGCTTCTGTGTCACCTGGAACACCAACTCCCGGCACTGCCATGAAGCCCAGGCTGTGTTGGGTGTGCTACTGCAACACGAACCCCCTGAAGAGCTGCTGTCCTACCAGGGTGTGCGTGCTGCACTGGAGGCCCTACTGCCCTACACTGGTATGTGGGCATGGCCAGGGCCAGGAGCGGTCTTGTGGGTGCCTGGACCTTCTGACCTCCTTCTGTCCTCCCCAGAACGGCACTTTCAGAGGCTTAGCCGGACTCTGCAGGCAGCCACCTTCTTGGACTTCCTATGGCACAACATGAAGCTATCCCCTCTCTCTGCTACCCCCACAGCCCTCTGAGACACATAAAGATGTACTTTTCTATCCTGCGTGTGGATCTGAGTTGCCAAGGTCCCTGGTGATGCACTTTAGCCCCTGATGGTCTCAACCCATGAGCCAGATCCTCTACTGCCTCAGCAAAGAGAGACTGGATTGAGACATTCAGAAGTTTTTACTCAAAGGAAATGGGAAAGTGGACCCTCTTGACCTGCCAGATTGGGAGTCCCACCCTTACTTATCCAGTGCTGGGGAACTACTGTCAGCCACTCTTTGGGTCGGGATCATCATACATTGCAAGTCTCCTGGCAGGTCATATATACACTCATGGAGGGCCCAGGGGTCCTGGAGCCCTCCCCAGTGCCCTGCGGGTAATGGTACAGCAGCGGCTCTGGATGGCACTCAATGGCGGGCGGGTGGGCACAGCAGGGGGAGTAGTAGTGGCCTCCTCTGCCGTGTCCTCACCAAGTATCCCTGTCCCACTCAGGAGTGAACCCAGCCCTTCAGGCTGCAGCAGCACTGCTGGGAGCAGACCCGTCTTGCCACTATATCTGTGAAGGAAGACAGGGTTTGGTCAGGGAGTGGGGTGTCCCTGCTACTCTGGGCCCACCAAAGTCTTTCCCCTGCACACCTGCAGAGCCACCAGCCACGGTCTGAAGTTTGTAGCACACAAACTCGTGCCCCCACAGGCACTGAGAGCTCATCATCACGGCTGCCTTCATAGGCACGGGAAGCACAGAACTGGGTCCCTGGGGATGAGTGTTATTTATGGGTCACTGAAGCTGCAGCAATCAGAGTCCTACCTTCCTGTGGGCTTAGCTGTGTGCACCAGGCACTCTCTGGGCCCTTGCCACACATGGTCCATCATTGGTGGGCCTGGGGGAAGAGAATTGGGCTCATACCAATGGTTCCCAGGGTCAGGCCTGCCTCTTTGTCCTGGCTTAGGGCCACCTCCTCCAGGTAGGGAGCTGGAAACCAGGCTGTCTGTAGGTCCTCATTTTCCACCAGCCACCAACCTGTTTGAGAGTTGAGGGAGGGGATCAGATCCTAATGTCCACTCAGATTCAGAAGGCCACAGGTTCCTGTTGGCCCTACCTGAGGGGTGTCGCAGCAGCACATCCAGGCTTTCCTGGGCCCCTGCAAGGAAAGGCCTGCCCTGTGTATCCTGGGTGCGAAAGGGCTGCAGGCAGCGAAGCCTCTGAGCCTCCAGGCTGTGGATGGCAAGACTGTCGGTGGGTTGTGATAAAGGCTCCTCCGGGGCAGGCAGGATCACCAGGCTGAAAAGGGTAGCCCAAAGGTTGAGTGGTGGGAATGGGCCTGACACCCTAACCAGTCAACACAGCCTCCAGGCCTGCCTCTTCAAGGACTTGCCAACATGGGGGGGGGGGGGCGCGGCGTAGGTTAGGCACCTTCCAGGAGGCAGCACGGGCTCCAGGTCCAGGGGTTGCGGTGCAAAGAAGTTGGTGAGTGCCAGGCTCCTAGATACCCGCTCAGCAGTGGCCAACAGCGCTTGTGCATAGGTATCCAGCAGCCGCAGGCGTGCTAGGCCGCGGCCCGTGCGCCCCCCTCGCACTAGCAGTGGTGTGTCTGTGGGCACAAGAAATATGGGCATGGGCTGTGGTGTCCCGTCCTGCGCCAGGCTCTGCCTTCCCCGCTCCCCTGGGACCCTTGTGGCCTGACCAGGAAGCCTAGGAAGAATTCGGTCAGATCTCCGCAGCAGGCCCGCCTCCACCGGAAAGGTGTCCTTGAGGGTCTTCTGCAGGGAAGAGGGAGACATGAGACTACCAGAGCACAGTCCTTGGTAAGTTGGGGGTCCCTCTCGGGGATCACAGGGCTGGAAGCCCAAAACGAGCAGGAACGGTCTCTGGTGGTTGCCTGGAGGCCTCGTTCCCAGGTCACCTACTTGGAGCTGTCTGAACTCGCCCCAGCTCCTGCGCACAAAGGTGTTGCTGCCGTCAGACCAGCGAAGGGAAAACGCGAACGTCTGGGGAGGAAAGGTGGGTACCTCGGAGGCTGGACCTGACACCCCCATCTTCTCCTCCCCTTAGGACTAGTGGAGACCCAATGCGGTACCTGGAGCCGCTGCACCTGCACCAGAGCCACCGCGCGCACAGACAACGGGTGCCGAGGGCCAGCCATTACTGGCTCTCCTGGCGTGATTCCGGAGTGTCGAGAGCAGGGGAGGATCGCGCCGCCTACTTGACCTTCAGGGGGCTCCAGCAGCCGGAAGATTGGCTTGAGGGGAATTCCCGCAGGTGCTCTCAGCCAGGTGGCAGAGCTGCCACGCCTCTCCCCAGGTCTTTCCGCTTTCCCGGCTGTCTCCCAAGCCCAAGGCGGGAAGGAGGGTGGCCGGGGGAGGGGACAAAACCTGAAAAAGGGCGTTGGAGGGGCTAGGACCGCCACCTGGCACCCTCCCTCCTGAGTCTGACTCATCAAAGTGCCGCCTCCCCTGGCCCACTCGGCCTCTCCCCTCCCAGGGTGTACCCAATAGCCCTCTCTTTGAGTCACCTGTGGAGCTCTGCAGTTGTAGTCTGGAACCAAGGACCCGGTGCTTAGGGCTTCAAGTGCATTCTCTGGCTTAATTTTAATGTGGGAGAAGGAAGGGTCTCCATGTTCCCAAGTCAGAAGAGGAAACTTAAGATAAATGGATAATTACTATGAGTTTCTCTGAATAGGTTTAGGGAGGGACAGACCTCATAAGCCAAAGCCCAGGGGTTCTCTTACAGTGGGGAGACTTGGGGCAAGATAAAGAAAGTCCATCTTTTGGTGACTTCACTTGAGTGTTGGGGAAGTGGTCACCAGGACTGTTTTGAGAGCCATCTCTGAATCCATGTCAACAACTTACTGTAAATATCATCTCTGTCATCAGGCCTATTTCCCTATCAGCTGGGGTGGAGGAAGCCCTATAATCCCTGGACAGAGGGCTCACCCAGGAACCTCACCTCTCTGGGCTGCTTCCTTATTGTGGAGATTTCCGGAGCCTGACCCACTCTGAAGCACAGAGGTTCTTCCTGGTGCTGGCATCAGGATTCCCCTACTCCAGGCCCTCCAGAGATTTAGTTTCTGGGTTATCCCTCTATGAAACTATTTTGGCCTCAATAAAGGGTCTTTGTGTGTCCATCCCACTAGGGCTCTTTTTGAACCCCTGGAAACTTCCCTAGTCTTAGCCCAGGCAATGAATATATGACAGTGGCAGAGTGCCTTGAGCTTGGCTGTCACCCTCCCTTCAACCTCAGCTGAGGGCATGCTGGCCTGGTGGGGTCCAGGGTAGGATAGCTCCTGCTCCCCTGTGTAGGAATCCAGCTTGACATGACTACTGCCATCTTGGTCATTAACTCCATCTTTCCTCCCCCACAACACTGTCATATATTCCAAATCCTACAGGATTAATGAAATCATTAAAATGGACAAAACTGGGCATGGTGGCACACATCCGTAATCCCATCTTTGGGATTATAATTCAAGGCCAGCCTGGGTAACTTAATGAGATCCTATCTCAAAAAAAAATTAAAAGCCTGTGGATGTAGCTCAGTGATAAGAGTGGCTCTGGGTTCAACCCCCAGCACCAGGAAAAAAACAATCTGTTTCCTGCCAGGCACTTAGGCCTGGACTATCTCTTAAATGCTTGAAAATTTTTGAGACAGCCCAGATACATTCAAGTTGGACTTGGGTTATCTTTGCTGTCTTGGATATTAAACCCTTTCCTTTGTCTGAGGATGCGGGAATCCTCCTGTCTTGCTTTTTCTGTCAGTCCCTAACAAACTTCACTTTGTGAAATCCTGGATTTGTCTCTCTCCCATCCAAGAACTAAGCAGGCCTGACCCCACTTACCTTCCTGTGGAGAGCCATTCTCACACGTGACTGGGCAACTCCTGGTTTGGGTCTGAGGCGCTCTGGCTAATCTGTGTCGGAGCTTTCCCGGCCCTCTCCTGATGAGAGAACCCGTCCGTGTGGGGGTGTGACTGACCACTGACCCCGGGGGCCAATCACTGACCCTGAGCTTGGAGTGCGGCCCCCCTCAACCTTCATTGGATGGAATTCTCCCCTGAATTTCTTGTTCCCCAATAAAAGGCTACTCCCTGGCGTGCTCGCTCTCTCTCTCCTGCTAGCCCTGAGTAATCCTTGCTGCCCTACAGGTGGTTCGAGGTTGGAGCCAGAGAGGGGAGCCGTCTGGGACCTGGTCATAGAAAAAGGTAACTGAGTCTGTGTGTTTTATTTCGATCTCGCTAGTTAACTTTTATGCCAAGAACCTCATTAATGAAACCAATGCGCTGGCCGCATGGTGGAACCTTCCTAGATTGGAGATCAGGTACATTCATGGTGGTTCGGCCATAGATTTGTCTGCTTCTTTCTTCAGTCTCAGCACTCTGTCTTTAGTAACCAGATTTTTCAAAAACATCCTGGAACACAACAGAGAAGCTGGGGAAGTGTGGCGTATTCACAGCCATTGACCTTGAGGGATTCTGAGGCCCTCCTTCTGCACACTCCCACCAACTTTGGACCCTCTCCCCTTTTTCTTCCCTATAGCCCCTACCTTCTCTCATTTGGATAACTACAAAAGCTCCCATCACTGTGGATGGCAAGGGGTCCATCACCTCTAAGAAATGCATTCTCCACTGGGCATCATAGCTCATGCCTATAATCATAGCAACTCATGAGACTGAGGCAGAGGAACTGAAGTTCTAGTCCAGCAAGGGCAACTTAGTGAGACCTTGTCTAAAAATAAAAAAGGGCTGGGGATGCAGCTCAATAGCATAGTGCCCTTCAATCCTGCAAGACATTGTAAAATAAAAAGGGGCTGATGGTGATGTGATGTAGCCCAGTGATAGAGGACTCTAGGTTCAATCCCCAGGACCACCAAAAAAAAAAAAAAAAAAAAAAGGATGACGAGGAAAAGGAGGAAGGAAATCCAATCTTTGTCAAACAGACATGAGTTCAGATCAAAGTGCCCTGCGTGGAATCATCCAGCACCTTCCCACTGGTTTTTAAAATAAGTCTCAATTCCACTACAACCAACAAGAAACCTGGTTGACCCTGGCCCACCAGCAGATTTCCTTCAACCTCCTCCTCCCTAGAGGCCCATTCTGCTGGCCTTTCTTCTGCAAAATGCCAAAATCCCAGGCTTGTCCTCCAAGGGGCTGCTCAGCTAATTTCTCACTGGTCAGGCCTCTGCCTAAGGGTCCCCACCTCAGGGAGGTTTTCCATATTTCCCACACAACATGCATGGCCCACCACACAGTTTCAAGTGAACATTTATTGGTGTGACCTCTTTGAGTTTTTCCTGTCTTGGTCACTAAACTGTAAGCCAAGAAGGTTAGGAACAGCACCTTGTTCTGGATCCTGCCGGCTCCTGGATCAGTGCTTGGGATAGAGTAGGTATTGCAGATACTTGTGGAATGAACAAATGAACGCATGGAGATAAGGGAATATCCGAGGCCACTGCCAAGTTGTTTTAACAATCCCTCTTGCAAGCCCTGAGCCGTGATGAACTCCTGAAATTTCGGGAGGATCGCAGGCTCGAGGCTGGCTTGGCCAATCTATGGAGACCCTGTCACTAAATGAAAAGGGCAAGGGTACAGCTCAGCGCTGGCGTGCAGGAGGGCCTGTGTTCAATATCCAGTACAGCAAAACAAAGCAACCTTTAACCAGGCCGTAGGATGCGGAGGACAGTAGGCAGGCGCTTCCGGACCCGCGGCCGCGGCCCAACACCGCGTGGCCGGTGGCCGGGGCCCAGTGGCCGTGACGCTGGCCGAGGCCCGGGCCCTAGCGCGCCACCTCTGTGCGGTCACGCCCCGCCACGCGTTGCCCGGCGCCAGGCCCGGCGGATGGGCGCCCCGCTCGGCCGAGGGCACAGAGCCTGGCCGCAGGCACGCGGGACGGTCCGAGCGAAGCGATGGGGGCGACGCGGGCAGCATCCCGGACCTCGCCTGGGCCCCAGCCCGAAAGCTCAACGCGGCCGCGGCGCGGCTTCCACACTACACTGCTCTTCTACTGGAGGAAGCGCGAGCGCCGCCACGGAAGGCGCACGCCAGTCCCGGGCAGGGGAGGGAGGCCCAAGGGCGCCAGCAGAGCGCGGACGCCCAGCCCCGCCCGGCCCTCCGCCGCCGCTCCCTCCCGCGCCGGGCCCGCAGGCTCCGCGGCGCCCGGCACCTGCCCCCCTCCCCGCGCCCCCGCCTCGGGGCCCGCCCCCGGCACCTCCCCGAGCCCCGCCCCCAGCTCCTGCGGGCGCGCGCTGGCCTGGAGGCCGAATTGGAGGCCCATCTGGAGGCCGGGCTGGCCCGGCAGGCTGTGCGCGGGCAAGATGGCGGCCCCCGGGGAACAGGCGCGCTTCTGCCGCGGCAGCCTCTTCTCCTTCCTGCCCGGCGGCGGCGCGCGCTTCGAGGTGACGGACGACCTGGCGACCGACGCGCGGGGCCGCGGCGCGGGGCGCAGAGACGCCGCCGCCTCGGCCCCAGCTCCGGCCGCGGCGCCCAACCCGGAGTCGCAGGACGCGGAGGGCGCTTCGCGGAGGCAGCCGTGCCGGGCCTGCGTGGACTTCAAGACGTGGATGCGGACGCAGCAGAAGGTGCAGATGCCCCGCGCGACCTCCCAGCCCTGGCCTTTGGGGCCCACACCTTGTTCTCGGGTACCTCTGCCAGACCTCGAGGGCCCAGGGCCCGCGGCGTGGCTGTGCCCAAACTTTGCCCCCATCCCCAGGTAGACCTGAACTTTGAGCTGTCAGCAGCAGGAGGGCCGAATCAGCTGCAGGGCTTCTGTCTGGAGTCTGGGCTGCTGGCTGGGGCTGAAAAGGAGGCAGCTAATTTCTTTATTTTGCGTTGCTGGGTTAAGAACCCAGGGCCTTGCGCATGCTCTGCCAGTGCACCACCGCTGAGCTGAATCGAAGGGGGAGCTTTATGGGCTTCTGGTTGGGGTAGAATGAACTGACCTATGGTCGGCCTACTTCTGCAGCGGGACAGCAAGTTTAGGGAGGATTGTCCACAGGATCGCGAGGAACTGGGTCGCCACAGCTGGGCTCTCCTCCACACCCTTGCTGCTTATTACCCGGACCTGCCCACCCCAGAACAGCAGCAAGACATGGCCCAGTTCATACATTTATTTTCCAAGTTTTACCCGTGTGAGGAGTGTGCCGAAGACATAAGGAAGAGGTGAGTTTCCACAGCTGCCTGCAGGCAACAGTGCCTTAGGACTGAAGCTTGGGCCCCCTGGCTGATGTCATAGAGAGGGGCCTAGGAAAACAGGGCAGAGGTGGCAGAGGGTTGCCTAGGAGCTGGTGCTACTAACAGGGAGGGAATGTGTCATGTGAGCATTTCCTTTCTCTAAAGCCAGACTGCCAGGATCTGCTGCTGGATACACTGTGTCAGATTCCTGGGAAGGGCTTCCGCACGGCCTGTCCCTTGCCCAACCCTCCTGGATGCTCCCCCAGGTTAGCTAGGTTGCCTAACTTCAGGAGCTGAATTGCTACTTTTCAGACTTTGAGAGCCTAATGCTTTTGCTTCCAAGAGTCACATTTTCTTCACTGAGGCCCCCAAGAGTCTGAGCCTGTTCCCCTGTAGGCATTTCTAGGCTAGATGTGTGGGGCATAGCTGTCCTTGCTGTTTGACACCTAAACAGTTAAAAAGGTGTATTGCTGATTTGGGGTACTAGGCTGCAGGTGCTAAGAAACAGTTTTGTGGTTGTGCCTTGCCTTGCCCTTCCATACACTGCCTGGGGTCAGAGACACCAGTGAAGCGGCCTTATTATTATACGATTGTAAAATTACCTGGTCTGTGTTTTAATGCCTTCCTCTAGGCTCTTTGCCAAGCTCCTTGGGTGGGTGTGGGAGCAGCCCTGGAAATCCACTGCATTCAAGAAACCTCTTGGTCAACTCTGTTCTCAGAATTCCTACCTCTTGGAGCATGAGGGCACTCCCAAATGTAGCTCACAGCAGTGCCCCACCTCCTCTCCCTTAGCACTGACAGCAGAACAGCCACTACCTCCTTACATCCTTCCTGTGCTCCCTCTTGCAGGATAGGCAAGAACCAGCCAGATACTCGCACCCGGGCAACCTTCACCCAGTGGCTGTGCCGTCTGCACAATGAAGTGAACCACAAGCTGGGCAAGCCTAACTTCGACTGCTCGCAGGTGGATGAACGCTGGCGTGACGGCTGGAAGGATGGCTCTTGTGACTAGAGGATGGCCAGCCAGAGCCCATGGAGTGGCCAGACAGGGCCTATGGGCGCAGCCTGGCTGGTTAGGGATGGAGTGCTGATTAAAGTGCCTCTGAGCCGGAGCTTGTTGTGTTTCAGTTGGGTGGTCCCCAGGATGCAGCCCCTCCAACAAGTTTAGTATACAAGTGAAGGTGCTTGCTGCAGGCACCCTGTGGCCTCCCCCTGAGGCCCCATGGAGCTGCAAGTAAGGGGGTCAGGAGCAGCCCACACTGCCCCTTGCCATTCAGGATACAGCCTCCCATCAACTCCAAGTTCTGGACCTAGTCCCCACACAAGAGGGCAGTGGGTCTGATGGGTTCTTTTTCCTGCTCTTGGAGGCCAGGCTGTTGCCTTCCCACTGTGTGCTGTGGACACCTCAGTGCTGTGGCCTCAGTGATGCTGCCCTGTTGTAGGAAAAGGCTTGAGGCTGAGCTCAATTCTGTGCTCAGTCCCCACAGGGAAGAGCCCAGGCAGAGTTTTTCTCAGATTCCATCACTGGGGATCCTGGGGAGAGCTTCCTCAGAATGAGACCAAAATAAAATGCTGGAGAAGTGACTGAGGACTTGGTGTCTGTGTGCTTTGTGCTGGGGTTTACAGGTGGGGCAGGGCCTGCTGTTGCCTCCCATGGTGGGCCCTCCTGACTGGCAGGGAGAGGTTCTGAGGTGGCAGCAGGCCAGGGTTATTACAGGAATAGCAGGGAGGCCCCAGTGGCAGGGGCGAAGGGAGCCAGAGTAGCTGAGGAGCAGTGAGGCCAGATGGCATAGAGTCTTGAAGAGCCCCAGTCAAGATGTGGCATGTACTCCCAGCCCCTATGACGAAAGCTCTTGGAAGGTTTACAGATGAGAAATGGCATAGAGTAATGTGCCTTTTGAAGTCCTGGCTGCTGGGCTGGGATAAGGCAAGGAAGTAGGTAGGAAACCAGCTGAAGGGGAGGCTCCTTAGAGAGGAAGAGAATGCTGGATATATTGGAAGGTAGAGCCAGAGAATTCCCAGGGTGAGAAAGGAGCTAGAGGAGATGTGCTTCAGGTTTTGGCCAGGTCAGCTGGAGATGCTCAACGTCAGTAAACTGGAGATGGCTAAGAGTGTGGCAAGTCTTGCGTGACCTGGTCCCAGCTTTGGGCTTCCCTGGATCTGCTCAGCTCCACCCTTGGTTTCCAACTGGAACAGCCAGACACCAGATCCAGTAATCATAAGCCTCAGGCAACTTCACCCCTGAGGGCCAACTGTGGCATAGTCTTCTGTGCCTTCAGGGGAAGAGATGCTGCTGGCTTCTGAAGGTACTACCCAAAGGCCAAGTGTCAAAGGAGGTGGGAGATGTTGCTCCTCCTTCCTCTGCCAGGCATGGAGCTTCTCTGTCATTTGCCAAGGCAGCAGAGAAAGGATATATGCACATGTGCTGGGAACCAGTTTCAGGTTTCCTGCTGAAACTATGGTCAGCTCAGGACACTTATGTGCCATTCTTCCCTGCCTCACTTCCCCTTTTCCCTAACTGGCCTCCCTAGAATTTCACCTCCTAATAAAATGTCAGTTTGCCTCAGACTGTTTTCAAGGGCATCCAGGCCAAGACAAGTGGAACCTGTGCAAGGGCAGGTTCTGGCTTCTAATGGCACTTGAGAGCTGTTACAGAAAAGGGGCCAGTACAGAGGGAGAAAAGTCAAGGAACACACCTTGTGTCCCTAAGGCTCAAAGGTCACAGGTCCAGCAAGAGGAGGGGCCCAAAAAGGGCTGCCAAGAAGGGCCTGTGATGGTAGGGATGTAACTAAGTAGTAAAGTGCTTGCCTGGCATGCCTGTGGCCCTGGGTTCTATCCCCAACACCCCAAGAAATGGTCCCATGATGTAACGGGAGCATAAGAGGAGCGTGACTTTAAGAAGTGCTTCCTGGCTGGAGATAGTGGTGGTGCAGACCTGTAATCCCAGTGACTCAGGAGGCTGAAACAGGAGGATCTCAAGTTCAAGGCCAAGTCTCAGCAATTTAGAGAGACCCTGTTTTGAAAAGAAAAAAAAAGAAGTGTGCCCTGGAGGGAGGGACTGGAAGAATCAAACTTTCCCTTAGGATTGGCAAATGGAGGTCACCGGCCACCTTCAGTCCAGATGTAGTTGGAAGCTTGATTATATTCGGTTTCAGAGGAAAAGGAAAGACAGGTATTGAAAGCAGATGACAACTCAAGTTACTGCTAAAGGAAGCAACTGGAGGGAAGTGGGGACAAGAGCTGAGAAATGGCATAGAGTAATGTGCCTTTTGAAGTCCTGGCTGCTGGGCTGGAGTAAGACAAGGAAGTGGGTAGGTTCTTTTCAAAAAAGTACAGCATGTTTGGGTGCTGACACAAGCAATGGAGGAAGATGGGGAAATAGAGAACACAGGACTATTTGCTGCCTGCCAGTGAGGAGAGTGGGACTGGATGCAGATGCCAATCATTCAGCACAGGTGTCTCCCACAGGTCTGGATACAGTGTAACATCCAGACACAGTGGCCCACAGTGGCCCACACTGCCCTCTGAAGAATGGACTAATACTCCTACCTGCACAGGATGAATGAAGCACTTGGCACTGTACCTGCTCAGTCAGCACAGACTACTTATTCCTGATCCTGGTCCCAGAAGACCAGAAACAGGTGACTGGGAGGCTTTTCCATGACCCCCACTGCAAACTTGATTCTCCATAAGATTCTAGACCCCCTAACAGGAGGGTCAGGAGGGAAGAATGGCCTCTGTCATTAGGGGGTGTTTGTCCAGGGAAAGGCACCCACTCAGGCCAGCAACATAGGAGTCATTCAGGTTCTCTCCAGGCTGGTCTGGAAGGAACACAAGGGAAGGAGCCCTGTCACTGAGCTGGGAATCTGTGGGAGACCTACTAGGGACAGGACATGGAGGCACCAGCTGGCCTGAGCCCCGCTTCTGCTACTTCTCCATGCCCTCAACGTAAGTACTTCAGTGACAGGTCAATGAGGGAGACTTAGGTGTCAGGAGGGCTCTTGCAGAAGGACAGGAGCAGAGATGTTCAACACCCCGGCATGCTGGCCGTCAGCACTGTCCTCCAGGCAAGCTCTCTTCTGGAGTCCCTGTCAGGGAAGCTAGAACCTTCAGAAAGAGAAGCTAGGTGCCAATGGCGGGGGCAGGTGTCTCACTAAAGGACCCCATTTAACTATCTCTGGTCCTCTGGGAACAGGGCCAGGGAGTAAGATGCTGGGCTTCAGTTCCCCCTTCGCAGTCACCAAAGGTCTCTCTGCTCAGAGGACTAGGGTCAAATCCTTGTCCTTTGGCTCACCTCCCAGCCACTGCAAAATCTGAGACCAGTGCCAGCCTCCCCTTGCCCCATGGGAACCTGGCGGTCAATCCCCAGAGAATGTCTCCAATTCGGACCCGGTCACGCAAGCAAGGGTGGGCGGGGCGGACGGAAGCAAGGGTTCAGGCCTCGCGCGTGGACCCGGTGGGGGGCGCTGGCTCGGCCCCGCCCCGCGCGCCCACGTCGTGGCCGGCGCGCGCTCCCGGGAGGCGGCTGCAGCGGCGGCGGCGGCGGCAGCAGCAGCATCCATAGCATCAGCATCCTCGGCAGCAGCCGCGGGCGGCCTCGGGCTGGGACCGCCGGACAGACGGACAGAGGGTGCCAGGGGCGCGGGGCCGCCGGGGCCAGCCATGGAGGGCGCCTCGTTCGGCGCGGGCCGCGCGGGGACCGCCCTGGACCCCGTGAGCTTTGCGCGGCGGCCCCAGACCCTGCTGCGGGTCGCGTCCTGGGTGAGTGGCCCCTGCCCAGCCTCCCGCCCTGGTCTCTGGCCCCGCCTCTACACGCGTCCGAGGTACCCCCACCCAAACCCTGCCCCTCGCCCCTCACCCCTCACCCTCCTCCACCTCCGGCCCCTCCCCCCCCGCCGCAGGTTGGGGTGACGTCACCGGGCTGGGCGCGCCCACCTGCGGGCGGGGGAGGGGCTGGTAAAGACTGAGGGACCTTGAGAGGTCACCGCTGGTTGCCCCCTACCCCCGATTTCTCCATCGGTCTGACTCCAACCCCCTTCCTCAGCCTTCTCTCGGTTTTTCTTGTTCCCACGACCTGGAAGTGGGCACAGGGGTGGGAACGAGCTTTGCCAAGGGGCTTGAGCGCTCAGCCCCGCTTGGCTGGAAGAAGGGGCTGCAGGAGCCTCCCTCTCCCGCCAACACACATCCGCTAGGCCCCCTTGAAGGGACCCGACACTTCTCAGGCCCCAGATCCAGCTGTGAGTTGAGGGAGGGGTTACTAAGGGCTGGGGCAACCGGAAAGGGCTCTGCACCTGGAGGGCTTCCTGGAGGTGGTGCGGGAGGAGCAGCTGGGGACAGTCTAGCCCACTGGGGCATGCCTTGCTGCTTCTCGCCCTCTAGAGAAGAGAGATGGGAGGTGGGTGCCGAGTTCCAGTCTTGTCCAGCTGGCGCCTGCCGCACCTCCGTGCCTGTCTTTGAGGAGGGCGGTGCCCGGGGTGGGGCAGGGGCCCCTGGACTTCCCGGTGGAGAGACTGACCAGACCAGGAAGCAAGAACCAGGCTTCTCCCCGGCTTTTCCCCCTCATCAGGTCCCTCAGAACTGGGGCAGGAAAGGAGTGAAATGATGAAGTTGAGAAGGGAGATCTTTTCTCGAAAACTCAGGCTGCCCAGAGCCCAAGAACAGTGTCTGATTTAAAATGATTATGGTCCACCTCCTACCTGCCTCTCCCAATTGGCGGGCAGGAGGAGGTCCTGAAGTTGGACTGAACCCCAGAGGTCAGTGGGGTCACCCTTTGAGCCCAAAAGCTCATCAGTAAAATTAATAATCACAGATGGGGGCCTTCCTCTCTCAAGTGCCCACCACTGCTGGAACCGAGTTCTGGTACTGAACAAGACCAGAACTCGGCACCAGCCTGTTTACCCCATATGGCCTGCTAGAGGGCAGGCCTCACTGTGGGGCCAGCTGCCCCTCTAGCCACAACCAACTCTCCTGGCTCCACTCCTCCCTATCCCTTCTAACAAATACAGCCCTGGAATCACCATCCAGGTAATGGCTCCTGTTTCCACACTCTCAAGTGGGTTCTGGGGGGCCCCATCCTTACAGAGAAGCCGGGTTGTGTCTCAGCCCTGATTCTTATGAGCCATGTGACCCTAGTAGATAAGTCATTTCACCTGTTGGAGCTCAGTTTCCCCAACTATAAAAGTGATAAGGATAATGACACCTCGGTAGGGTTAGAGAATTCAGTGAGCAAAGGTATATAAAGTTGCACTTTTAACACAGTGCCAGGACTTATTAGATGCTCACTAATGGTTCCTGTAGCCAGTAATTACGAAATTCGTGAGGGGTGGGAAATATGCGCCCCATGCTTCAGGGGAAATGCTGGAGCAGGCATTGAGGTATGGGTGCTGGCGGTGGGTGGCAGAAGCCCAGGATCTGGGCTGTAGGAAGGGGCCTGGCACAGGGCCTTCAGAGCCTTCGGCTGCTTATAGGTGTTCTCTATCGCGGTGTTCGGCCCCATTGTCAACGAGGGCTACGTGAACGCCGACAGCGGCCCGGAACTGCGCTGCATCTTCAACGGGAACGCGGGTGCCTGTCGCTTCGGCGTCGCGCTGGGTCTCGGGGCCTTCCTCGCCTGCGCCGCGTTCCTGGTGCTCGACGTGCGCTTCCAGCAGATCAGCAGCGTCCGCGACCGCCGCCGCGCAGTACTGCTGGACCTGGGCTTCTCAGGTGGGCATGGCCTGGCAGAAAGGGCGTGGCCCGGGGAGGGGAGAGCCGCTCCCTGAGGGGTGGGGCTTGCTCCAGAGCGAGACTGGCTGCTCGGGGGGCGGGGCCGGGGAGGGTGGTGGGCGGGGCGCTTCCCAGGTGAGCGGAGGCAGGACCTGCGGTCCTGTGACCCAGCACAGGCCTGGCGAGGCGCCGCCTGACCGCGAGTGGCCACCCGCAGGGCTCTGGGCCTTCCTGTGGTTCGTGGGTTTCTGCTTTCTCACCAATCAGTGGCAGCGCACTGCGCCCGGGCCAGGCACAGTGCAGGCGGGGGACGCGGCGCGAGCAGCCATCGCCTTCAGCTTCTTCTCCATCCTCAGCTGGGTGAGTGCGGGCCTCGTGGGCTGCGGGGCGGGGGTCGCCCCGGCAGGCCCCGGCTGACCCCTGCCAACCCCGGCTCCCCGCCCAGGTGGCGCTCACCGTGAAGGCCCTGCAGCGGTTCCGCCTGGGTACCGACATGTCACTCTTCGCCACAGAACAGCTGGGCTCTGGGGCCGGTCAAGCCTACCCCAGCTACCCGGTGGGCAGCGGTGTGGAGGGCACCGAGACCTACCAGAGCCCACCCTTCACCGAGACCTTGGAAACCAGTCCCAAAGGGTACCAGGTGCCCGCCTACTAGTGTCTGACAATCCTGGACCAGGGCCCGAAAGCCAACCCACCAACACAGGTCCCAAGTCCTCCTGGGGCCTCTCTGGAGTCCTAGAGGCCCAGCACCAGGGACAGCAGGGATGGCCACTGTGGGCCTCGCGATCCAGGAGGGGATAGCACCCCTGGAGTGCCTGGGCTGTCCCCATCAAGTTCTTGTAGGCCTAAGGTCCTGAAAAGGAGACAATGTGGCCTGGAGTGGACTGTCCTGGGAGAGAGGTATTCCCTTCATGGACCAACTGACCGGGAGCTCAACTGTCCACTCTGAATTCAGAGGTCCAGCTGCCCTCCACAGCTCAGTGCAGGGATTGTACAGGACCAGGGACACTGGCCCATCCTGAGTTCAGGGATGGTGGCTATTGTTCTGCATCCCAGGTCCCTGTGGGTAGTGACTGTTCTTGCTCCTATTGTGGTGGTTTGTCATGTCCAGAGCCTCCCTTCATTTCCTCTCACAGGCTCACTAGACCAGCCTAGTCCTGTCTGTGTTGTGATTGTGGTCAACTCTACAGGTTACATCTCATAGTGCTCCACAAGCTGCACCTCTCTCTGTGGCCTCTGCCCAGGTATAGGAAGTTCTGGTCAGGAAGGCACAAGAAAGCTATGTATGGAGCTGGGTACAAATCCTTTAGCCCAGGGGTAGGAACAGGGTACCTGGGTGCTGGGCAAAAAAAGCATCTCACAAGGAGAGAGGCCTAGAGGTCACATATGCCCACAGTGCCCCTGGAAACAGCCATTCCTGCAAACTGATTTACCCTGCGTCCTGGATCAGATTCTTCCTTCCCACCCTGCACCCTATGTAAGGCCCAGCCCCAGATGGGGGTCCTTGTGTGTAGCTGCCTACTCATGCATTGCTTGAAGCTGGATTTTCACATTAAATCAAAACCACACGCGTTGCCATATTTCATTCTTACAGACAGATGCCTCCCTCGGGAGTTGCAGTTGAGTGACAACCCTGTACATTGTAGCATAGACCAAATTATGTGTGAATATTTAAGTGAACATGTTTACAATTTTTGTATATATGGATCTCTCCCTTCCTCTTCTGAAAGAATAATCCATGGTTGTGTATTTTCGGTGTCTCATGTTCTGAGTGCAACTTCTTTACAATAAAGAGTGTAAATGCGTTGACCTGATCTGGTTGCTCCTAGAATCATTACACTCCTGGCAAAGTTTCTAGCTCCTGCCCCTCTTTTTTTTCTTTTTTTAATATTTATTTATTTTTTTTAGTTATCGGCAGACACAACATCTTTGTTTGTATGTGGTGCTGAGGATCGAACCCGGGCCGCACGCATGACAGGCGAGCGCGCTACCGCTTGAGCCACATCCCCAGCCCCAAGCCCCTGCCCCTCTTGGTGCCAGGACTGGGGGGTACCAGGACTCAGAGGCTAGGAGGGAGCAGGAGGAGGAGCAGATTCTGGAGTCTCAGGCCCATACCCCTCCAGGGGATCTCACTGGTCCGGGTGGAAGCCTGCTGTTCACAGCAGTCTCTGGAATGCTGGGGTGCTAGGGAGACTCCCCCTTTTCTTTCTTTCCTTTTTTTTTTGAACCAGGAATTGAACCTAGGAGTTCAATTGTGGCCACATCTCAAGCCCTTTTTATTTTTTTTTATTTTTGAGACGGGTCTTGCCAAGTTGCTAAGTGCTGAGGCTGGCTTTGAACTTGGGATCCTCCTACCTCAATCTCTCCAGTCCCTGGGATTACAGGACTGCACCTGCCTTATCCTTTCTTATAAAAGCAGTATTTCCTGGGACACAGGTCCCTCTTTCAAAGTGGACTTTACTGCTGAAGCTCAAGTTCATTTCCATGTCTTCTCCACACAGTCTCTCTCTCCCCCATGCCTCAGAAATTTGGCCTATATTTGCATGTGCATCTGTGTGAGTACATGTGTGTGTGTGTGTGTGTGTGTGTGAGAGAGAGAGAGAGAGAGAGAGAATATAGCCTAAATTTTATTTATTTATTTTTGATACTGGGTATTGAACCCAGAGGCACTTAACTAATGAGCCACATTCCCCAGCACCACCCCCACACACACACCGCTTTGTTTTTTTTGTTTTGTTTGTTTGTTTGTTTTAATCAGGGATTGAACCCAGAGGCGTTTAACTACTGAGGAATATCCCCAGCCCCTTTTTATATATTTTTAAAAATATTTATTTTTTAGTTTTAGGTGGACACAATACCTTTATTTATATTTATGTGGTGCTGAGGATTGAACCTAGTGCTTCATGCATGCTAGGCAAGCACTTTGCCACTGAGCCACAACCCCAGTCCCCCTTTTTTATATTTTATTAGAGAAATAGTCTTGATGAGGTGCTTATGGCTTCACTAAGTTGCAGTCCTCCTGCCTCAGCCTCCTGAATTGCTGGGATTATAAGCATGCACCACTGCACCTGACCCTTTTTAAAAAAAAAAAAAAATATATATATATATATATATATATATATATATATATATATATTTAGTTATACATGGACACAATATCTTTATTTTGTTTATTTATTTTTATGTGGTGCTGAGCTGTAATTGTTCTGAAACTAGTGCCTCACATGTGCCAGGCAAGCTCTGCCACCGAGACACAACCCCAGCCCTACCTGACCCCCTGACCCCCCCCCTCTCTCTCTCTCTCTCTCTATATATATATATATATATATATATATATATATATTAGTTGTAGATGGACACAATATTTTTATTTATTTCTTTGTTTTTATGTGGTGCTGAGGATCGAACCCAGTGCACACATGTGAGGCAAGTGCTCTACCACTCAGCTACAGCCCCAGTCCCCCCCTTTTTTTTATTTTAAGACAGGGTCTCACTAAGTTGCTTAGGGCCTTACTAAATTGCTGAGTCTGGCCTCCAACTTGGATCCTCCTACATCAGCCTCCTGAGTTGCTGGGATTATAGACATGAGCCAGCACACCTGGCACTGCTTTATTTTTAAGAGTACAGATCAATGGCATTAATTAAACTCTCAGTGTTGTGCACCCATCGTCACTGTGTGTTTCCAAACTTTTACATCACCTTACCAGGAGCTCTGTACCCATCAAACAGTCACTGTCTAGTGCCCTTCCCTGCAGTCCCTGGTAACCTCTAGCTTGCTTTGCATCTCCATGAGTTTACCTAGTTTATTCTCATTAGGTGGGACCATAATATTTGTCTTTTTTTGTGTCCAGTTTCTTGAGTGTTGTTTCAAGTTCCCGTGCTATAGCAGGTTTTGGTGCTTTGCTCCTTTTTATGGCAGCGTAACATTCTGCTGTATGGATGGACCCTTTTGTTTATCCATTTGTTGAGCTCACTCAGGTTATTTTCATCTTTAGGCGATTAGGCTGTTGTGAATAGTGCTGGTGAGCATATTCATATCCATTGAGTTTTGTTTTTAATTCTTTGGGGGTATAGACCTAGGAGTGGAATTATGGGGTCATATGGTAACTTTTGGATCAATGGTACACTTTAAAAAAATATCTTAGTATTGTTTTCGGTGGACACAACATCTTTGTTTTGTATGTGGTGTTGAGGATCGAACACGGGCCGCACGCATGCCAGGCGAGCGCACTACCACTTGAGCTACATCCCCAGCCCTGAACCCGAGTTCTTGCACATGCCAGGCAAGTGCTCTGTCACTGAGCCACATCCCCAGCGATGCTACCCTTTTGAAACCTGCCTTTCTTTTTTAATACTTTGTATGTGCTTTCACAAAAAAATGTACCATTTGGGGTTTTTATCAGCATACCATGTGGCACACTTTTTTTTTTTTAACCTCCCGTATGTTTTGGGGAGTGTCTGCTTTGTCACATTTAGCTGTGGCCCATCCTTCTCCAGCTCTATGATAGGTCCTCACAGATGGTTGCCAGGTGTTCCCAGCATTTTGCTTGTCTGAAGACTGTGCTGCATGGAGCTCCTGATTTGTGCAGGGTCATTGTTTCTCCAGGGTTTATTCTAGAAGGATCCCAGTGTTCATGGGCTCTGAGCACTTGCTCTCTCTCTCTCTCTCTTTTTTTTTTTTTCTTTTGATACCAAGGATTGAACTCAGGGCACTCAACCACTGAGCCACATTCCCCAGCCCTATTTTGTATTTTATTTAGAGACAGGGTCTCACTGAGTTGCTTAGCGCCTCACTATTGCTGAGGCTGGCTTTGAACTCGGGATTCTCCTCCTTCAGCCTCCTGAGTCAGTGGGATTATAGGCGTGTGCCACTGCACTTGGTGCTCTCTTTTTAAAAATACATATATTTTTAATTATAGGTGGACACAATACCTGTATTCTATTTATTTATTTATTTGCAATGCTGAGGATCAAACTCAGTGCCTCACAAATGCTAGGCAAGCACTCTACCGCTGAGCCCCAGCCCAGCTGCTCTGTTTTATTTTAGGATCTTAAGGTGAAGAATACCATCTCAAAAGTTAGGGAAGACATATGATGGAAATAAAGACTGTATTACTTGCAGGTTCTGGGGGCACAGCATGCCTAAAAGCCATACACAGGGAAACCAGGGAGTGTATGGAGAGAAGGAAGTGTTCCCATGGGCCAATGCTGTCATTAGGGGTGGGAGTTCTCCCCATAGGTATCCTGCAGTGAGGTTTAACCATTGGCGTGGGTTGCAGGTCACACAATGACTAAGGTGAAAGTTGTGGCATTCTGCACTGTCCATACAGGGACTAAGGATCAGTGGGACTGACAGAATTCATCTAGCTGTGCCCCAGGGACGAGGTCACCAGGGAGCAATTGTAGGAGGCAGATACCTGGATGGATGACATTGAGGGTCTCAGGTGGGGCAGGAAGGTGTAGGACTGGAAAGTGTGACTCGCTTCTGGTCTGAGGAAGTCCAGGGGTGTGTGTGCTGGGGATTGAACCAAAGGCCTTGCAGAAGCACCCAGGCAAGCGCCCCACCACTGAGCTACACCCCAGCCCCACTGGATGTAGCTACAATGGAAACCAAGGTAATGTAAACAAAAGCTACAGCCACCTCTTCCCAGCCCCAGGCAACCCCTGCAAGCTCTGGGGCATCCTGGTGGCCTGGGTGCAACCATCTCCTGGTATGTTACGTTCCTTGACTTTCATTCTGCCGTCCTTGTCATATGGGGAAAAATTTTTTTGGAGGTAGGAGTCTTTCAGTGTTGCTCCAGGTTGGCCTTGAACTCTTAGGCTCAAGTGATCCTTCCCGCTGGGACTGTAAGCCACTGCACCTGCTGTTACAGAAATTCTGTGGGTGCAAATCTCATTTTCATGGTTTGATTATTCACAGCCCTAACAAGGTTGTTCCTAACCCCCCAGGGTCATCTCCAAAATTGCCCTTTATGTTATTTTTAATGTTGTTTTACAAATGTTTAGTTTTTTTCTCCAAACTTTTTATTTGGAAATAAGTATAGATTCACTGAAAATCAAAGGGGAAAAGTACAGTGAAGGGAGAGGGAAGGGGGAGAATCATGAACTGTAGTCAATTTCCTGCAAGTAAGAGTTTGTCAGGATGAACCCAATTGCTATGTATAACAAATGTATAACTATAAGGCAGGAAGGAAGGAAGGAAGGAAGGAAGGAAGGAAGGAGGGAGGGAGGGAGGGAGGGAGGGAGGGAAGGAAGGAAGGAAGGAAAGAAGGAAGGAAGGAAGGGTGAGCACAGTGAGTTCCTGTGCTCTCTTTTTTTTTAATATTTATTTTTTAAGTTTTGGGTGTACACAATACCTTTATTTATTTATTTTTTTAAATGTGGTGCTGAAGATCAAACACAGTGCCTCATGCATGCTAGCTGAGCTCTGTTCTACCTCTGGCCACAACCCCAGCCCCTCCTGGGCACTCTTTGTCCAGTTTTCCATGGGAGGATATTGTTCTGCTGCAGTGTAGCCACAGAGCCTGCTGCTGACCTTTGCAGTCCAGAGAACTGGTACTGGTGACCAGTCTTACAGGGACCCATCTGCGTTTGCACATGTGAGTGGTTCTGAGCTGTTTTCTCAGCTATATAACCACACCCACATTCAAGGTACAGCACTGGTATTATGGCCCAGCTCCCTTGAGCTCCCCTCCAGAGTCCTGCTTGCCCTCTGCCCCAGCCCCTGGAAACCACTAATTTTATGATTTTAAGAACATTACATGAATAAAATCATACAGCTGGTAACCTCTCGAGATGGGCTTTATTCACCCAG